ATTTTTTATTTTGTTTTAAAAAAGTAGTAACTTACTCGGACAATCCCGAAATTGTCGGATGTTCTCGGCAAATTCTTTACACCAGTCATTGTTTGCAGTTGACTTGCAAGCACGTGTATTGCTGCCCCGCATGTTAAACCTTCGACTAGCTGGTCTGATAACCACACAGCTAACAGGCCCGCATTTAAAAGCCCCAAAATCACCTGAGAAATTTAAGGTTCAGAGAATAATGAAAGCATATTTCAAAAAGATTTTCTTTACCATATCTCGTGAAAAAGCCATAGGCACACAACGGTAAGATTGTCGAGGGTTGAAGCAGCTTGCCTCTCTCGCTTTCATAAAAACTATAACCGTACACAACTAATGAGTATTGTAGGTACAGCACAAATCTCGGGAATAGCATGTTACCGTTAGTGTGATTTTGCAATTTCAAATAAACTTTTTCGTGCATTTTGAAATAAAAGCAAGTAGAAATCGATGTTTTCAGCTTTAGAAAAAGAATCCAGAAGTTCGTGTCGGATTTCGCAAGTTTCAGATTCTGTTTTGCTCTGGATTTTTCAGCAATAAATTAGATTTCGAGAAGGAAACATTAGTGCAAAATCGATAACAAATATTTACGACATTGCTCTTGCTCTTGTACTAAGTTTAAGACATTTTTTCAAACAATACTTGTATTACGCCAACGCAAAATGTGATCAGTGATGAAAGTTGGACGGCTTTTTCCGGGTCCGGCTTCTGAACAATGTCAGCACAACAGAATTTATGCGTTTGTTGCACTGCTACGTGCTCGTCGGACGACGATTGCTCGATCACAGAACCAATCATCAATGCTACAATTGCAAATGCTCCTGTAAATTAACAATGGTTTTCTCCTTTTTTTTGAGAAGTAATTTAAGTATGACAAAGAATGGCAGTCAAAATAATCAATAAATGACAGTCGTAACGTAACTCCTAAAAGTTCGGTTCTCTAGCTTATTTGATTTCAAACTGAAAATCAGTAACAAAATACACTCGAAT